AGTTAAGGTAGTTAGTTCGCTGTTGAAAGAATCTATTTTTGGTCTGTAAAAATAAACGTTTTTTAAAAACTAAGTTTTTACGTCCAGAAACAAAATTGGCGCAGTCGGTACGATTCCCTCCAGTGCAGTTACAGTTTCCAAGTTTTTGTTGAAAAGTCGATCCACAGTGAAAATCTTCTTGTGCGGTTACGATCTCTGAAAAAAGTGTTCGAGAATTCGATCGTGCAGTGAAGTTCTGTGTGAAACAAGTGAAACCAGTGACCAGCACGTCTGTCTCAACAGTTCAGGAAGGATCCCTCAACAACCGAGCTACAACTTCCAGCCCTCTACTTAGACTCCTAGCAACGCATCGCCTTTTGGTTATCCAACAACGAAGTAGCTAGTAAGGACATATTGGCCTAACGCTAGTGTCCACTACGAACGAAGTCGCACCCGGACAGTTCATCTTCCCGCAGCGTCATCGTTCGATACAGGAGCAAGATTGGAAAAATCGTAAGCGATTCATCCTATAATCGTACAGCCTGTTAATTAAGAAGAATTTTTGAAACAAACAACATTGAAWYRAAYWRCATTGWWTTGAATTGMATTTTTTGAATTGAATTTTTTTTTGCAWTGAATTTTTGAATTGAATGAAAAAGTTCAAAAAAGTAATATTAGGGGATATTACATATCCAAAACGTAGGTTATCAATCGCTARCAACGCTTCAAGTAGTGACCTAGATCAAGTGCAATYGTTTCCAGATATTTCTGAAAACATTTTAAGTTTATTTGAACCCATYTCAAATACTGAYACWWTTRAAATGGCCGACGCTTCCTTCGATGGTACTCCATCTCGCCTCGAGTTTTTTCTCAATCAAATATATGATATATTTTTACAACAGATATTTTTCAAGCRATCAATCCCAACAAGAATATGTTCTGCTTGCAATAAAATCAAAAATTTTAGGACAAGCCGAAGATTTTCTGTTAACCAGAMCAAATCTGTTAACATGGGAAGAAATTAAAATTGCCCTTCGCCAAAAATTCAGCGACTCGCTTAATACATTCATAAGCTCAAAGCCTTAGTCACCCAAATTAGTACTAAGATCTGTGCAGAAGTTCCAAACCCAGAAGCACATATTACTTGCCCAAAATGAATTGACAGCTACGCAAAATCTTTTAGCCAACATTTCATCTGAATTAAGAACGTTACTAATTGTACAAAATCCTCAAAACCTAAATCAAGCAACTGAAATCATTACAAACTATGAAATTTTAATGAGTCAGAACAGTTTCAAAAACAATTTTGTTCAAAATCAAAACAAACCCATTTTCAAACTTTCAAACAACACAGCACATTGTCCAACAAATTTTCAAAAGCCAAGCATCTTCCAATTCAAATCCCCATTTCAACAAAATCAACCCTTTCAAACAAGACCATCACAACCTTTCCAAGTGAAACCAACTGCACTGAAAATCAATCTTTTTAGAATCAGTTTCAAATGAGACCAAATCAACCTTTTCAAATAAAACAAAACAACCCTTTCCAACCCAATCAATTTAAACCACAATTTCCAAAACAACAATTTCCACAACCAATGTCTGGAGTAAGTACAATTCCAACCCATCGAAATAATACACTATAGGAACTCCAATCCACAAAGACCATTTAATCATTTCCAAACAACCGGAAAGCCAAACTTCTCTTTTCGAGAAATAAGACATCTCGAAGACGAATATAATGAAAACTCTGATTTTCCCCAATACCAAGATGAATCACAAACCCATGATCAATATGAAGAGCAAG